ACATAGCAGTTTGAAACCATGTAAAAAATGCAAATAGAAAAATAGGGACCACTTTGGTGGGAAGATAACAGTATTCCGTGCACCTTTGGCATTTAGTCATGCTGGCCACATGACCATGGAGACGTCTTCGGACAGCACTGGCTCTTCAGCTTTGTAACAGAGATGAGTACCGCCCCCTAGAGCTGAAAATGACTAGCACATATGTGCGAGGGGAACCTTTTCCTTTACCTTACTGACAACTTTGAGAAGATTCCTACAATTATTTTAAAGGGACTCCTTTAAAGCTTTTTACAGGTAGTTTCTAAGCACCTGAGTTGAGTCCACAATTTTGGTCGTAAGTCATGATGGTCATAAAGTGATCACATAACTGTGCCCAATTTTTACAACCTTTTTTTTTTTGTGCTAGTCATTATGAAGGAAAAGGCAAATTTCCCTAAAAATTTCTGGGACAATTAAAAAATTCCTATGGTCATTAAGCAAATATTGATGTTGTTAAACAAACTCATTGTTTGCTATAGGGCAGGTTTTGCCAGAAAGCAGAAGTAAATGCTTGAAGTTCAGCAAAACGATCATAAATTCTGGTCACGTGATTGTAGATTGCTACAAAAAAACAATAAATGTAGGACAGTTCCCAAGCATCCCAAATGCTGTCACGTGATCGTAGGAAGTCCCAGTCATTGAGAATTAAAATCCAGGTCACAAATAGCCTTTGGGGGGTCTATTATGCAACCGGTTGTAAGTTGAAGAGTACCTGTATTTTGCCTGTGAGAGGCAAGGTATTTATATAATTAGCAACTATTTTCCAAAAACAGTTGCATCAGTCTTAGGACAAATTTAATTTTTTCTTTTTTTCCCTCCATATGATATTTGGCCCTGGTTTGTTTCATCCTTTTTTTGACAAGTTTATATCTCCTAGTAACTCATAAATCATTTTAAGGACTACAGTAACTGGTTCCACACTGCACATTGCTTCAAAGTGAAACATAACCCTATGGCTTAGGTTAGCATAATATGTCAGTCTACTGTAAATGTTATAGCTCTACCCCAGTTTTAACATTTTACCCAATGGATTTCAAATGCCATTAGGGGATATTAAAAGACTGACTACTCAGATCAGCGGTGGGATTCAAAAATGTTTACTACCGGTTCTGTGGATGTGGCGTGGCGTGGCGTGGCATAGCATGGCGTGGCTTGGTGGGCGAGGCAGGGGAAGGTTACTGTAAAACCCCCATTCCCTCCCCACCCCACTAACCTGCTTTCCAGCTCCATTCTCCTGTGCAGGGCAACAAAAGAAGACCCAGCCGATCAGTTGGGACTTGGAAGGCAGAGAATAGATGAGGGCAGGGCCAGTCAGAGATGGTATTTGCCGGTTCTCAGAACTACTCAAAATTTCCGCTACCAGTTCTCCAGAACTGATCAGAACCTGCTGAATACCACCTCTGACTCAGATATATCTCAGCTGTAGATGTAACTTATAAATGGCTCAGTTTGTGGCTGGGATAAACATTTGCAGCATTTATCTACGTTATTAAGCATCTGCAACTGTATACACAGCAATGAGATGTCTTTGTTTTATACACATTTGCCAGCAATATTTAAAGCCAAAAGGATCTATGCACTCAGCATGTTTGTTATCACACAAAATGCTCACTTGTTCCAATGCAGTGAGTTTAGATATCCTACAGCCAGGCAAAACTCCATCAACCACTAGTAAATGAAAAAAAAACAAAAAAACGTCACAACTGTAGCTTTTTCATCAATTACATAATGCTCTAAATTTGGAAACTAGGGCATGATTACTGTAGAATCATGTCTATTAATGAGGCACATTAAGTTGGGGGAATATGTATGAATGAGAAGTCTTTTAACAAATAAAATGTAGAGAATGCAAGCAGTGAAACCATCTTTGGAACTCTCCCGTGTTCTTTATAAAGAATCTGGATTTTGAAAGCTAGAATTACACCCAAAGCACAAAGCCTTCATTCAGTGCACTCAACATCCCATTTAATGAATATAAAGCTTCCTTGAAGTCCCTCTTGAGGAAATCTCTGTTCTGGGATGCATTTATACTCTTAATGTGCCAAAAGCATACAGATATCATATGTTTGGCCATATTGGCTGGACAAATGACTGCCCTGATCACTATAACCCTATTATAATCTGAAGCAGTAGGGAAGCCTTGTAGATTAACACATATTTTTTTTAAGTAAAGATGCCTGGTATACAAAACATCTCTAAGAAAGAGTAATCAGAGACCAAACGAGAGTGCAGCATATGTATGTATGTATGTATGTATGTATGTATGTATGTATGTATGTATGTATAACCTGAGTAGAATTACAGGAAGAAGTTCATGATCTCACCACATATAGAAAGATTTCCATGGGTTTTAAGAAGCCCATGTTCTTCAGGCATGCCGAATAAGCATGTCTTTGAATAAGCATATCCAAAAGGTGCTTTTTCAAGAGGCAACTAGACTTTCTTGTTTTTCTTTGAAGGTTTTGCTCAGTGGTGGTATGCTACTGGTTCAGCCCGGTTCAGCCGAGCCGGTAGCAGTGATGAGCAGCAGAGACCAAACCGGTTCTCTCTGCCACTCTGCTGTTGGGCCCACCCACCCGGGCTCCCATATTCAACTTTATCTTCTGCTTTTGAAGCGCAGCTGCTTTGCATTGCACAGAATAGGGCTGCGCGGCCGCTGCTGAAGCGACTGGGAGAGTGCAGGCTTCCAGGAGGTGATTTGCCTGCGCAAAGTGCATGTTTGGCACGTGGGTGCACACAAAGTGTGCGCATGCACACAAAGCTTGCCCACTAAGCAACACCCACCGAACCGGTGGTAAAAGTTTTTGAATCCCCCCACTGGTTTCGCTTCTCATCCAAGAGGCTTCTTCAGCTCAGCTGCAGAAGCTTCTTGGATGAGAAGCAAAACATCTTCAAAGAAAATCAAAGTCCAATTGCCTCTTGAAAAAGCATCTTTGGGACAACAATGACCTAGAGATGACTGAGAATCTCCGTAGACATTAACCACACAGGTAGTTCTGAACTCATGACACAACTGGAACTGCTGTTGTTAAGCAGATAACAGATAATCAGAGTTGGAAGGGACCTTGTAGGTCATCTAGTCCAACCCCCCACCCAAGCGGGAGATCCTACACCATTTCTGACAAATGGCAGTCCAATCTCTTCTTGAAAGTCTCAAGTGATGGTGCTCCCACAACTTCCGAGGGCAACTTCTGTTCCATTGGTTGATTGTTCTCACTGTCAGAAAGTTTCTCCTTATTTCCAGGTTAAATCTCTCCTTGTTCAGCTTCCATCCATTATTCCTTGTCTGGCCTACAGGCACTTTAGAATATAGCTTGACCCCTTCCTCTCTGTGGCAGCCCATCAAATATTGGAAGACTGCTATCATGTCTCCCCTGGTCCTTCTCTTTACTAGACTAGCCAAGCCCAGTTCCTGTAACTGTTCTTCGTATGTTTTAGTCTCCAGTCCCATAATCATTCTGGTTGCTCTTCTCTGTACTTTTTCTGGAGTCTCAACATCAAGCAAGGCAGTGGAGCTCCTTGAAGCTCCAACACATAAGGTCAGCCTTATGATAAAAACCAGAAACTTTATTGAGGTCTTCACCCTCTCCTTGGTCCAAAACATGATAAAGGTAGTCAACTTACAAACATTCATTTGGCAATCATTCATAGTAACAGTACACTTATCTATGTGTATAATTCTGTGTAGAGGGTGTATTCAGCAGGTTCTGACCTGTTCTGGAAAATTGGTAGTGGAAATTTTGAGTAGTTCAGAGAACCAGCAAATACCACCTCTGACTGCCCCGCCCCCATCTATTCTCTGCCTCCTGTGTCCCAGCTGATCAGCTGGGTCTTCTTTTGTTGCCCTGCACAGGAGAACGGAGCTGAAAAGCAGGTTAGTGGGGTGGGGACGGAATGGGATTTTGCAGTAACCTTCCCCTTCCACACCCACCAAGCCACACCCACAGAACGGGTAGTAAAAAAAAAATTGAATCCCACCACTGGGTGTCTTCCCATAGTCTGAAGTCCAGGAAAGGTCTACCCTCCACCCCAGATTGCCCTAGGTTTGGGACTGCCCATAGGAATACAATCCAATCTACAGTGAATTATTTATGTTTTTAATATATAGGGCTAGGAGGGGGAAAGCTTCATGGTCATATTATCTTCACCTGGCCAGATAACTTTCTTTGGCTGCTGGCATTCAAAGAGTTACTATTTTAATTTCTTGTATTGCCACCAAACAATCCAAACTTGATCAGATATTGAAAGGATAGCCACAGGATGGAGTGAGGGCCAGGTAGGTAGGTAGGTAAGTAGGAAGGAAGGGAGGGAGGGAGGGAGGAAGGGCCTCGAAATAAACAGAAATCTGTCAACCATTTCCAATGGTCAGTTGTGGTCAGCATTATCAAATGTCAGATATCACGTAAGAAATGAAACACTATTCCTTGAACTAGTGATTAACTTCTTGGGAATATTTATGGTTTGTGTGTTCATAAAACAGATGAATAGATAGCGAGGAATAATTAGCAGTAAACTTGTCAATTGCTCCGGGGGTTGTGTTGACCCTGGAATTTCTCAGGGTCCCCAAATGCACAAGGCTCTCTCTCCTGAACCGGGACATGATTCACACCCTTTCAGGGGAGGAAAAGAAACACGCTTGTCCCCTTATTATGATCAGCCAGGATTTGCTTATTGGAGTTCGTAATAAATAACGAAGGAGGATGGGCTTCCAAGCTTTGCTATCATCCATTAGCTCCGTTCACCCAGTTCGCCAAGGCAAAAATCGAGCCAACCCCTTTCGGGTAAAGAGCCTAAGGTGAGAACGCGGCCGGCAAGCAGCGGAAAAAGAGCAAGAACCAAGCCAGAAAGCCGGCGTCTCCTTGGTGGTGGATTGCTTTGGGAGGCGAAATCCGTCCGGGAAGCCGCTGGCCCTTTAAGGAGGGAGGGCCGTGGGTGGCTGTTTCCCTTCTCTCTCTCGGGGCCGAGGTGCCGCCTTCCTCGCTCCAGAAGCGCCGCGCAGGGAAGGCTGCGCCGGGTCAACACCTCTGGCTGCCATGCGTTGGCTAGGCCAGCCTTGCGCCCTGGCTCCGTTTTTGCCCAGGGGAGCTTTCCAGACGATCGGCGGGCGCGTTGCTTTGAACCAAGCAGCTGGCACTGGCGGGGGCAGCCGAACGGGGGCAGTTGGGGCCGGCGGCGCTGCGCCGGGGTTCCTGCCGGGCCAGGCACAGCTCAACTGGGCAGTGGAGAGTCCGCTTCCCGGCCGAGGGCACCAGAGAAGCGGGCCCCGGCTCCTGCGCCGCCTCTTGCGGGGATCGGGGCTGCTGGTGGGGCACCCCGCTCACTTTGCGCTCCTGGCGGCGGCTGGTGGAAGCGAGCCGCTGCGCCGCCCGTACAGTCAGCTGGAAACGCCGGCGGTGGATCCCAAACGGCTGCGCCCCGAGGTAGGCCAGCGTGCAGCGAAGAGCGACTATGCCGGCGGAGAGGAGAGCCGCGGCGGACCCCGCGGCAACCTCGCACCTCCCAAAGTGGGTGAATGACGGGGCCGCACGTGTGCGTGGGAATGCGCGCTTGGATTGGCAGAAAGGGGTCCCGGCGGTGCATTAGGGCTGGAGATCAGGTGACCCACACTGCTCCCTTCGCCCGGTACGAGTGAAGCGGCCACTTTTTAAGAGCGGAGAATGGTCCGTACGTGGCCTGTGTAGTTCGGGAATCGGGGTGTCTACCCCGTTGGGGACTTGGACTGACTTCAGTGTCAACAATTGGTTGGCGTGTCTTGTGAGTTCACTCACAACAATTGGTTGGTGTGTCTTGTGATTTCATAATAAGGGATAATAATATATTAATAATGTCCCATTGAAGAAAATTGCCCAGAAGGTGAAACAGGAAGATTTTTTTCTGAGCACCTTCAGAAAATATTGGACAGCAGGTTTCTAAACAACTTTTTTTTTAAAGTTAGTAGATTTGGACGTTTGTAAAACGTGCTTTAGCACTTAACTCCCCTTCTCTTTAATAATATTTAGCAGGTTTGAACTGAAGAATTCTCTGTGTCTCCCTAGTCTGCTCAGCTATCCTTTGGGAGAGGTTTGTCTTGTGTGCATGCTACAGATAAAAGAGTGAGATTAGAGTTGGGGAAGGAGCAGTTGTCACTTATCTGCCTTGAACTCACACTTTACACCAATTTTTATTATCTAGTGCCTGCCAGAAAGAGATAGAATTACAGTTCCATCATCATGTTATGTATTTAGGTTTATAGGCCACAATTATCAGTGTGGGGCCAGGTTCTCGAAATTGCTACACAATAAGACTTTTGTGTTTGTTGGCTTAATTTTTGCAGTCATCTTACAAATATGTATGTTCCAGAAAGAACAACAAATACCTTCTGTCTTACTTTACATACAGCATGTTTAAGCAAGTGGATAAAGATTTAGAAAAGTGATTTGCAGTAACACCATAAGCTACTTTGGTAATAACTTTGATTTGCATTTTGGAAACATGCTGTACCTACCAATCAACCCACTGAATTTATAATTCATTGGATTGGGTAAACACGGAGTAATTCAGAAACCAGGTTAAGAATACTATGGGATGCAACCAGTTTGATTTTTTTTAAGTACCTGCTTTTCTGTTGAAATGATATCCAAGGTGGTTTACAACAGACATAATAAAGCAATCTAGCACCACAGAAACTTGGAGAAAAATGTTTTTATTCAAATAGAGTTTTGGCTTTTTCAGCTAATGCTGAAATCTAAATGGATTTGACAGCATAAAAATTCAATAAAGCAATATTAGAAGACTGGAGTAACTCCTGGGCTTTAATTGTAATTTACTATTTTCGTGTATCTTAATGCCAGCCTTTCTGAGCACTATTTGTTATGAAAAAGTCAGATTCAATTTAATTAATTTAAATCCCTTTATGCATGAGAAGCAATGGAAGAAGCAGAGCTGGTATTTACCTTCTGGAGATATCCAGGGATTGATTGGTTAAATAAAGTTGGTCAGAGATCTATTTTACATGAGAGATGTTTTTTTTAGCTGTTTGGCTTCCCTTGTAAGAAATGTGAACTTATAGAAAGGAACTCGCTTTGCTGAGTCTTTTCCCTTTTCAGGATCTTGGGCCAAGGTTACCATTTTCTTATCCTTTCAGCTCTAGAAAACCACTTCTTGAACCTGAGACCTTGTGTATCCCAACAGAGAGGCAGTACAGTATGCTGTAGTAGCTCAGGCTTAGGATGGAAGAGACTCCATTCTAAACAACTCTCAGCCATTGAAACTCACTGAGCCCAGACACAGGCTAAATTGGAGGAGGAATTGCTGTGCAAGCTACCTTAAGTTCTGGCTCTGAAACAGTGGTGGCAAACCTTTTGGCTTGACATGCCAAAAATTCAGAAAGTGCCCAAATTTGATTCTGCTAGCATGACATGCACACAAAACCTGAACAAAAGAGAAACAATTCTCTACACACACACCCCATCTAAGCCACCCTGAAGAGCAGCATTTGGCGGCAGCAACGAGGCTGGGCCTGTGGTAGAGGCCTAGAATTTGACCTCAGCTTTAGCACCACCACTGCTCTTCCAAAATGGCTGCCTCACACATTCCCCAAGACATGTGAGTCTTGGGGAATGGCGTGATTGCCCCTACAGGCTGGCATTCCCCAGGATCTGCCACACACTGCTTACCTTCAGATAATGTTCTCTCTGTTGACAGGCTCCTGCAGCCTACATGAGGCTGCTCTGGGTCGTACAAGGTCTTGGGAGAATGCTCTCCCATGGCCTCTGTAGCCTCCAAAAACCAGAAAAAAACATGCCCCATTCCTGTGCGACTTCCAGAGCATGTCCATTTTCACGCAGCCTTCAGAGACTCTGAAAATTGTTCAAGAACAATGTCTATGGAGATTCTCAGCCATCCAGGTCATCGTTGTCTCAAAGGTGCTTTTTCATTCCCCACCATCAAGCCAGAGCTGAAGAAGCTGAGAAACGAAATGTCTTTGTGATGACCCAGAGTATATCAGAAATATAACAAATCCCAAAACAGAGTCACTCTCCACCAGGGGCAAGACAGTCTTCAAAGGAAAGCCAGAAAGTCCAGTTGCCTCTTGAAAAAACACCTTTGGGACAGATGTGCAAGAACAAGTCACGCTTTTGAGAAAAATTATTGGGTATTGAGAAATGCTGGCTTGTCATCCAAAGTGTCATATATAGTTTCTCCATCACTGTTCTAGAAAGTATAGGTATTTTCTGCCACTGAATTACAACCTCTTCCCCAAAGCACTGAGCTGCCTTTTGGCTAGCAATGTCACAGGCTATTTGCCTTGCTCTGACCTTTCCTCTTTTGGGCTTGTGTTACACAAGTCACTGATTTAGGACCTTTGAATACCTAAAGGGTGGCCTTGTCTGGAGAACCTTCAGAATCTAATCTGGAAGCAAACAGTAAAAAAATATATATTTCTGCAAAGTTGTTACAATGAGGAATATCTACTTTTGAAAAACATTCACCCCAAAGTAGTAAGCACATCTCCAGCTGGACAATTGTCTTTCTCCTGCCTGATATAATGCAGAAAATTGGAGTCATCTAAGACATTGAGAAAATTCAAGGAGACTAACTCTACCACTATTCTGTCCCCATTCTCAGGGGAAAGGGACATTGGAGAGAATCTAGGTAGCTGCTAAGAGTTTACAGCAGGGGTCTTCAAGCATGACAGCTTTAAGACTGGGAGTTGAAGGTTGGAGACCCCTGCCCTAGATTGCCTGATGAAAAAAACAATCTATTTTGGAAGAGCTCAAGACTGAGCTTTCCTTAGCTTAAAATCACAACTTTTGTATTGGGGTTATGTCATGCAAAAAAAGAAAAAAGAAAATCAAATATATTGAAGAAAATATTAAAGAGGAATCTGGTGGTTTAACTTATGGCACATATGTTCCTCTTGGCTTCTAGGTGTTCACTAAGAAAGGATTTTTCGAGATGACCATCGGAGCATTAGTATTTTGTATATCATTATTAACATGCTCTGATGCTAAGGAGTTCTACTCCCCCTCCCCACCTGAAAAGAAATCTGTTCCAAATACAAAACACAATCAGAAGAGTTTCAGTTTCACAGCAGCAACCAGCTTTAGTACAGAAAAGTTGAGCTAAGCCACGCCCACGCTCCTTGCTGTCTCCTTGCTCACACAGCAAATACTGTTTCAGTTCCCATGTTTCAGTTTCCAAACAGCCCTCAACTCTCTCACAAACTGAAAGGACGCTAGCCAGATGAATACTGATGGATGCTGGTAGGCAGAGGCACAATTTTTCCCCCTTATTTCCTCCCCCAAAACTAAACCCGATCACATCCTTTCATAGTGAAGCATAGGTATTGAGCTAGTAGAATGATAAAAGTGCAATTTAGTTCTCATCAGTTGTGCTATTTTACAAATTAGATTACATGAGAGAATTTCTGAGACCAGAAATGCCTCTCAGCAAGTAGTCAATTGACAGATGATTTAAAGGACAATATTGTTCCATATCAAAAATCTACAACTTTTTTTTTTTTTTTTTTGGAAGTCCAATCTCTACATTTGCTTTTTATTTTAAAGGGAAAGCCTTAAAAGCCTTTTTTTTCCCTTTCCTGGTATTTTTGTTTTTTCATCTACCTTTCTGGTTTATTCTTATGCACTTTTTTCTATTTGAGACCTTTCAATTGGATTAAGGTGTTGAAGAACCTGAAGAATTTTTCCTTTTCCTTTTTTTTTTTCTTAAGTATTTTTCTTTATCTAACTATTGATTGGATTAAGGTATACAAGAACCTGAAGAAATTTTGTCCTCCCTTTTTTTTCTTTTTTTATTATTATTATTGGGCTTCTTTTTTCTACTATTTTTATTTTGAACTATAATTGGCTACTTCACAATTGGATTAAGGTTTAGAAGTTCCTGAAGATTTTGAATTGCTTAAAATGAGTAGGAAATTTACAGCTCCTGGTTCTTCAACTTCTACTTCCTCTCCACCATCTGGAGGACAACGTTCAATACAGACAATGTTAAAGCAAGAAAAAGAACAAGAAAAAGTGACTGCAGATGATTATGCAAGGAATTCAAAATATTCAAGCAAGATCAGAGAATATTGAACAAAGAACAGAGACCATTGAACAAAGAACAGAGACCATTGAACAAAGAACAGAGAACATTGAACAAAGAACAGTGAAAACCAATGAAAAAGTGGAGAACATCCAACAAATGATGTTGAAGTATGATGAGAGATTCCAAAAAAATTGAAGAAGAAGATAAACAAAGAGACAAGAAGATTGGAGATATTGATAATAGATTAACGGTGGTTGAACAAGATAAAAGTGGTATGTTGAGATGGGAGATGGATAGATCAGAATTCTATCTTAGATTCCAAAACATAGAGGAAGAAAAAGGACAAAACCTAGCTCAGATAATGATAGAAATACTGGCTGAAACTTTGGAAATTGAAGAGAAATATATATATATATAATTATATGTTTTCTGAGGTTCTCGCGGGTATTTATATGTGGATCTTTGGTTGTTCGGGTTTTATATATATAATTTCTTTTTAAGAATATAGTGTGTATTTTAAGAATGTACCAAGCAGAATTCGATTGGAAGTTATGTATTATATTGAATGCTATAATCTTAAAGGTATACATTGAAGCTTAAATAAGAGTTTGAATGGATAAAATTAAAAGATATAAAGGTGTCGTACTCCAATTGGTAACTACAGGGAAAAATTTGTTTAATAAGAAAAGATAATATGAAATTGAAATGGGACAGACAAAAGTATAAATATGATTTGATTGAGATGAGATAATTAAAATAAAGTTGAGAAAATTAAAAGAGGGGGAAAACTATGTAGAAAATATAAAACGGTAATAAGATATGGAATAGAATATAAAAATGAGCATGAAATTGAGTTTGGTGTCTGTATGAAGAAGTGATAACCTGGGACCATGCTATTTTCAAAAAATATGTTTTATTTGTATTTTGTTTTTTTGAAAACCCAAATAAAACTTTCAAAAAAAAAGGAATAAAAAGGATGTTCAGAGGTCTATGACACTGTGCCTGAACATGGGATAATAGCAAAATAACAGCTATTTTGGTGTAGTGGTTAAGGTGCTGGTCTAGAAACCAGGAGTTCTAGTCCTGCTTTAGGCATAAAAGCTAGTTGGGTGACTTTGGGTCAGTCACTGTCTCTCAGTCCAACCCACCTCACAGGGTTGTTGTGGGAAAAAAAGAGGAGGAAGAAGCATTAGATATGTTCACCGCCTTGAGTTACAAATAAAGTAATAAAGGTGTGATAAAAATCTAACAAATAAAATAAAATGCACTAAAGTTAAATTTACAATCTGTTGTGATGTGGAAAATGAGTCAGTGATCCTGTGCTGATCTTAATTAGAAACACACTAGTGTAACTGTTTATGTTACTATTTCCTGCAGCACAACAGGGAATTTTCTTGTCAAATATCAAGAAAAGTCCACATTCAATTGCTTTCTGTATACCAAAGCTTTCTGATGGTCTCAGGTTATCCGTGTCTGCAGCCACTTAGGTAGCACAGAGGGGGACCTATCTTTATGCATCATTAAAAGAGAGTTATGCCTATCACTTCTTCTGCTTAGCTGACTTCTTTTATGGATTGTAAGTTGTGCCAATCAGGCAGGTCTAACAGCTTTTTCCAATTCACTGCCCTCCATATATGTGAGGCTTTAATTTTCACATTTCCAGTCAGTGTGATGCTTGGCTGCTGTAGCTGGGAAATTTGTGAAGCTTCAGTTGTGATGGAAGATAAGAAAGACTGAGGTGTATATTACTGTGCAACCATTTTTTAAATAAATGATTATAATTTTAAAAGGTCCATGCAACCCCTGAACATCACGTTTTATAGCATATGAATATCAGGATTTTAAAAATACTTTAAAATACAGTATTAAAATAAGTAATGCAAAACAATAGTTTTCAAACCTGCTGTGTAACACATTTGAAATATTTCTTTAAAACGTATTTCCTTACTATCCATGATAATGGCTCAAATCTCTCTCCTAAGCTTTTTTTAAAAAAAATTGAAATCTTTGGAGGAACTATTGGAGGACGATAATCGCCAGGTCTGCTAGATTTCCTGTTTTCCCAGATTCCTCTTTGCTCTTCCATGCTTCTCCCATTTCTTAAAACACACACACACAATATTTACTATTGAGTCCATTTAATTGACTTTGCAAAGTAGGCATCACCTTTGGGGGAATTTATTCAAATCTGCAGGCTCCCAGAGTACTTGACTCAGTGTTAATGTTAAAACAGCAGCTTGGGTGATTTGCAAACTTCTCATTTAAAAGCTGGGATGAATGCTACCTTTGCTGTCTCTCTGACCCCAGCGAGCTGTTGTAAAATCCATGTAACGTATTATTTCTTCAGCCGGCCTAGCAAAGTGTTGTCAGCAAGCAATCGCCAACCATTTCCTTTCCGCAATCTGCCATGTTTTGTTACGAGCCTACAATACCGCATTACGCAGCAGGAGCAGGAAAGCAAAAGCTTTGTTCCCAGATGAGTTATTTTACATCAGCATCCTCTAAGTGGTGAAAAGCATTATTGTACACATTGCCTGCAACAGTACTGAAATCCCTTTCTTCTCCCAGGATTTGCAGAATCTTCGGGGGGCGGGGGGGGAGAAACACTGTTTTGATCTAGACCTAAGACTTGAGTCTTCTTAGCTGCCTACTTGCAATCAGCTCTTGAATAATCAGGAAAGAAGCCTGGAATCCTGCATTCTAATATTCCACTATTTTGGTGCTTTACATGTACATGCAGAGGAAATACATTTACAAAGGTATATACAGTACACACACATATATAGTTAGTCCTCAGCAACAGTTTAATGACAACAGCACTGAAAAAAGTGACTTATGATTGCTTTTCACACTGACGACTGTTGCAGCATTCCCATGGTTATGTGATCAAAATTTAGATGCTTGGTCCCTGACCCATATTTATGATGTCTGCAGAGTCCCAGGGTCATGTAATCAACTTTTGCGACATTCCAACAAGCAAAGTCAATGGGGAAACTAGATTCACTTAATAACCAGGTTTAGAATAGAATAGAATAGAATAAGAATAAGAATAAGAATAGAATTCTTTATTGGCCAAGTGTGACTGGACACACAAGGAAATTGTCTTGGTGCAAATGCTCTCAGTATACATAGAAAGAAAAGATACATTTGCCAAGAGTCAAGAATCCTAAGGTACATCAGTTAATGATAGTCATAGGGTACAATAAGCAATCAAATCATACTAGGAAACAGTCTATATAAATCGTAAGGATACAAGCGACAAAGTTACAGTCATACAGTCACAAGTGGGAGGGGATGGGTGCTAAGGAGTGGTGAGAAGTTTAATAGTAATAGTAGTGCAGAATTTGTAAATAGTTGGACAGTGTTGAGGAAATTGTTTAGCAAAGTGTTGGCGTTCAGGAAAAAACTGTTCTTGTGTCTAGTTCTGGTGTGCAGTGCTCTATAGTGTTTTGAGGGTAGGAGTTGAAACAGTTTATGTCCATTTATGTTATGTAATTTAACAATTGCAAATGATTCACTTAACAGCTTTGGCCAGAAAAGGCATAAAATGGAGCAAAACTCACTTAACAATGTTTCACTTAGCAACATAAATTTTGGGCTTAATTGTGATCGTAAGTCGAGGACTTCCTGCAGAAGCCAACCTTTTGTAAGATAAAGATGAAGTTACAGATGAGTTACAAAATCATAAAAATAGAATAAAACAAGTTAACTTCAAGTCAACACAAAAATTAATTAAACTGGTGGTCAATGAGTTTGGGAAATGAGGAACACCAACAACCCATTAAAGTCTTCAATTGGAGTAGGCATAAAGTATTCCTTTCTATGACCTTAAATCTCTATTTGTATCCTTTCACAGCAATCTTTCTGAAGGTCACTGTTCCCCAATTGATGGAATTGTTTGAATAAACTGCACCATAAATTACAGGATCCAAATGATGAAATAAACATGTTCTAAAATAAGTGTTACTCTAGAAACAAAATGGCTTATTTGCATGGTAATAACAATCAGCCTTCTCTCTCTCTTACTTACCCCCAATATTCAGACTACAGGTACATCTCCAGAAAATCGCACAGATCCCAACCAGGAAAATGGGAAGAAACCAAATAAATCTCATCAGTTAAAGAAAATTTTTAAGGAATACGGAGCTGTTGGAGTAACATTTCATATTGGGATTTCTTTGGTATCTCTGGGAATGTTTTATCTGGTTGTGTCAAGGTAAGCACTATTATTGTTGCTGTTATGGGTGCATTAGAAGTTTGACCACTATACTGTAAATCAGATTTGCATGTTCTCCCTTTCTGATCTTCCCGCATTTACAAAATGAAAATGAGAAGTCTTTCTTTTTTTCATTTAAAAACTGCTAAGCTGAATTTATCATCAGTATACAGGTCATCCTCAACTTATGACCACAACTGAGTCCGAAATTTCTGTTGTTAAGCAAGATATTTGTTAAGTGAGTTTTGCCTCATCTTACATTTCTTGCCACAGTTGTTAAGCGAATCACTGCAGCTGATAAGTTAGTAACCCAGTTGTTAAGTGAATCTGGCTTCCCCATTGACTTCGCTTATCAGAAGGTCACAAAAAGGATCACGTGACCTTGGAACACAGCAATGGTCATAAATATGAACCAGTTGTCAAACATCTGAATTTTGATCACATGGCCATGGGGATGCTACAAAAGTTATAACTGTGAAAAAAGGGTCAGTTATTTAGGCCTGCTGGAATTTGGGCAGCTCCAAATTACTTTGCCAGGGACGCAGTGGCTCAGTGGCTAAGATGCTGAGCTTGTCAATCAGAAAGGTCGGCAGTTTGGCGGTTCGAATCCCTAGCACTGCATAATGGAGTGAGCTCCCATTACTTGTCCCAGCTTCTGCCAACCTAGCAGTTCAAAAGCATGTAAAAATGCAAGTAGCAAAATAGGGACCACTTTGGCGGGAAGGTAACAATGTTCCGTGCGCCTTCGGCATTTAGTCATACCGGCCACATGACCACAGAGACGTCTTTGGACAGCGCTGACTCTTCGGCTTTGTAATGGAGATGAACACCACCTCCTAGAGCCAGAAACAATTAGCATGTATGTGCGAGGGGAACCTTTACATTTATCTAAATTACTTTAGGCTATTGAGAATCCCATTTTCTCTTCCATCCCTGACTGCTACCAGATTGGATAGCCGTTGTAGGGCCTAAAGCACAAGCTAGAACCACCCAATTTGGAGGTCTTTTAACCCAAGCCAGTTTTGTCCATCCAGGAATCCCTTTATGGTAGCTCATACCAAAATCATTCAACTTATGCCTTTGGCAAGGACCATTGAAGTTGGGTAGCTAATAAATTCAAGTTACTAATGATAATAAAGACTGCAAACACAATACTTACCTCTGCAGCCCTTGCCTAGTTTGATAGGTGACTCACAAGAGGCTCTAGAGAGGAGTATTTTCCAATCTCAGAAACTTTAAGATGTGTGGACTACAATTCCCAGAATGCCCCAGTTGCGAATATTGAGAAACACTTCTAGATAGACTGAGTGGCTATGTCAGCTCTTTGAAACATGGTACAACCCTACTCCACAGCACCAGTTTTCTTCTCATTCAACTTATTTAACAAACCAGGACATCAAATTCCACAATTCAATCACAGATAGAGCAGACTTATTTCTCCTATTTTCCCCAAGTAGGTACATGAAAATAAAGGCAAGGCTCACTCTGGCTTTTTCTAATGTCATCTGATCTATGGAATAGGCTTCTCCAGGCCTGAGGGATACACTAAATACTTTGTTTTCTCCAATATCTACAAAGTGTTTCAGATTGGATGAACTTGAACAGGAACACAGCCAAGATTTCCTTTACAACCACAATTGGGACTGGAATTATTTGTTGCTAAGCAAAGTGGTTGTACAGAGTCATGCCTGATTTTATGATCTCTTTTGCCATGGTTGTTAGAATTACTGCCGTTGAGTGAATCAGAGTCATTAAGTGAATCCATTGACTTTGCTGGTCGAAGCCAGCCAGGAAGGTCGTAAATGGTGATCACATGATCCCAGAATGCTGCTATCTTTGTAAACATGTGCCCAGTTGCCAAGTATCCAAATTTTAATTATAGGACCGTGGGTTGCAGTCATAAGTACCACTTGTAAGTCACTTTTCAAATTTCATTGTAAACTTTGAACAATCACCAAGCAAATGGTTGTTGAATAGTGCCTGTACAACAGGGGTCACCAACCTTTTGGACCTCAGGGACCATCAAACTCATAATTTTAGATTCCAGGGACCACTATCAGGTTCTGTGAGTGTGGCCTAATTTGTGGGTGTGGTTTGCTGTTCATGTGACTGGCTGGGCATGGCTTGTTATGTAAATATTATAAATATTGAATTTTTTATTTAAAAAAGAGCAACTTTTACCCAAAATCAGGCAAAACAGGCAGATTGAGTTGCTCACAGAATAATAGATTCATTCAGAGATCTATCTGCTAGCTCAATGAAATAAAATTTGCTTGCAAGAAAACTAATAAAATTAACTCACAACACACCATGCATGTAAATATTGATTTTTTTAATAAAAAAGAGCAATTTTTACCCAAAATCAGGCAAAGCAGGCAGATTGAGTTGCTCACAGAATCATTCAGTGATCTATCTATCTGCCATCGGCTAGCTCAGTCTCTCAAATTTGCTTGCCGTGAGTCTGCACTGAATTTGCTTGCAAGCAAACCTTCAGTCCTAAGGGAAGTTCCGCTATGCTGAGCCAAAGATCTAAAGACTAGCTAGAAAGCAAGAAATCCAACCATTTCCTGCTTTCTAGCTAATCTAAATCTCCCGGCACAGCAGAACAGATGATGGTCGGAAAAAGGAAAAATAGCAACTTAGCAGACAAGTTTGCCGGGTAAGGAATGAGTGGGCGGGGGAAGGTTCCCGTGGTCCATGTGGTCTGAATAGCCTTGTGTTTCTGCACAGCCTGGATTAATTGCTTTGTGGGGGTGCTCTGGGGGTGAAATTTCTCTGCAGCCCACCAAAATTTTCTCATGGCCCACCTGTGGCACTTTCATGCTATTAATATATTGTCTGTTTCTCCCTCTTCTCCCTTTTAGCGGAGTGGACATGACCACTATTCTCTTCAAGCTGGGTTTTGATGAAGCCCTTGTGCGATCCAAACTAGCCGCTGGAACAAGCACTTTTGTATTGGCCTATGCTATTCACAAACTGTTTGCTCCTGTCCGGATCAGCATCACCGTAGTCTCAGTGCCCTTTCTTGTTCGCTATTTTCGGAAGATAGGAATTTTCAAGCCTCCAGCTCCAAACCCATGAAATTATTCCCTGGAATTAAAAAAGGATACTACATCGTTTCTTCTTAGAAACATTCGATAGCTAATGCACTCTGGCTTTTCTGTTTGCAATCCTCCCGATCTTTTTTCAAAAGAATGGGAATGTGCTTTGTCTTAAATCAGTAACTACTTCGAAAAGACTATGTTGCTCAGCTACATTGCTTGCTTACTGAGGCGCTGAAAAATTATGGATTGAGTACGCTGATAAACATGTCAGATCACACCACTAGAGCCTGTTATCTGTATGGAGCAGGAAGACTTTTTAAACAATGGGCCTATTCAGAATTGTCCCATGGTGGAGGTTCAAGTTGAGGACTAGAAACACTTCCTAAGAACCATTTGACAATGAAACCAATTTCAGGTTTCCTTTTTCTGGGATGCTTTCAAGCATATTTTGATTTCTGAACTGAATAAAGCTGTAAACTGTAGACTAAATGTCCTTTCAGTTCTGATTCTAAGCCTTCTACAAACTCATTTTAAATCAGTTGATTGAGTTTAGGATGCAGATTAGGCATTATACCACTAAATTTTGTTTCCTTTCACATATAGGGATTTTGTAAATAAGTTAAAGCAAATTTAAACGAGACTAGAAACAAATATGTAAGTATGGTACTCAATCCTAAGGAGTTATATTTCTTGTATTTCAAAAGATAGCATTGTGGTAACTAGTTTTTAGATGACATGAGCTAAAGGTAGCCCTTGACTTACCACCATAATTGAGCCCGCGATTTTGGTTATAAGTTGAGATTGTTCTAAAGCAGGTTATCACGTAACCCAACTTGATTTTTCAACCTTTTTTTACAGGCACCATTGAGCAAATGCTGCAGATGTTAAATGAACCCATTGTTTTGGGGGGGTTTTCCCCCTGGAAACTGGAAATGCTAGTTTTCAGAAAAAACATAGTAAATCAGTTACGTAACTTCAAAATGCTGCAAACAGCAGTAAAAATGTTGCTGAGTGCCAAAAAACATAGTTATGTGACTGCAGGGGGTAGGGCATATCAGAACTTTGAATTTGAGTCTTGTCCCTTTTTCAGGGTCTGTAGTGACTTCAAACACTAAGTGACCAGTTGTTAAGTCAAGGAGTACCTGGATCAGGTACTCATAATAGTTTACAGGCAATGGGGAGGGGGGGGGGATTTCCAAACAGTGAAATGGTTGAGTAATGACAGTGGATAATAGTATTAGCAAACATAATAGGGCAGGCAAGTGGTCAATTTGAGAATACGGGAGGGGGCAGTTAGAAGCTAGAATTTACCATTTTTCTTGAGTTTGGTATGCTTTGATGTGGAATGTTTTATTCTTTAAATGATATTGTGCCTATTTATATATTTCCTACTGCAAAATGGCTGCTCTTGATTTGTAACCATTATAGTCAGAAGAAGCTTCCAGAAGCTACAAAAATCACACATTCCTACATCTCCCTGCTTAATAACCCACACAGCCCTGGGGACATGCTGGGATTGCCATCACAAAATGATGCTGTCATACAAAAGTACACTTTATGACTGCAATAGTTAGTTTCAGCAATCCTGACGCCAATTTTCATCATAACAACAGGATAACTTTGAGAATTTCCTGAAACCACCACATGCCAAAAGAGGGCTTGTATTTTCAGGATCAAGCATCATTCTGTTTATCTGAACTATACAGATAGCTTGAGATAAAATGTGTTATACATTTGTATAATTGTGAATTCTAAAAATGAAGTACCATTAGATGCAAGTAAAAGTGCTGCAGAATCATCATGATTTTGTAATAGTTTTACTAGTGCTTAAACGAATACATTATTTAAAAATTGATGATCAAAAGTAATTGTGAGAACTTACATTGAATAATTGCTCACTATCAAGGATATCTTACAAACAGAATATCTCTGGCCGCTAAATAAAGCAGTTAGGTATCCAAAAACAGTATGTCTGAAAGTACTGGGTTATTGTTTAGACTTTAAAGAATTTCCTAACTGAAGACAGGACAATGACTGTATCAGTAGCTCATACAGAAACAGACGCCATCCATGTCACATCACTGCACAGGTTATATAACCTTAGGGTGTTATTGCACCATTCCAACAATTTCATGTGGCTATCAAGCAGCAAGGAGGATCAACAGAATAGGAGCTATGTGTCTGAGAAAGTTCTGAACAAGATGTGCCCCAGCAGCTTTGAATCAAATGCACAAAGAGTTCAAGTATGTGTTCCAAATATTCAAACTGCTTTGAATGGAGGAACTACAAGCATTGCAGCATGCCTGTGAAAACTGCAGCTCAGACTTCATTGTGTTCATAGAGGTTCGTTGTGCAGGAAACTGACGTCTGTTTGAGACCAATTGTATGCTTCCTATATCAGCTGTCTTCCAATTGTTGCCATCCCTGCTTCTTGGGAAATGCAGTCAGCAATACTTATTATGCTATGACTGAGTAGTATTAGCAACAGTGGTTTCCACCATGTTACGCTTGGGAGATTTAGTAGAGTTTGATGTAACCCATGGATGTTTAAGCACATGTTCCAGTGGTAATCTCTGCTTTGGGTTATGCTTCAAGAGCTTTGAAATCAGATCCCGAGCTCCCTCTGTTACAAAAGGAGGAAATCTGTACTCCACCTTTAAACCAAAGAACATTACAATTACACACAAAGCACTGCATTCACTTCTTCCCATTGTAGAATCCAGGTGGAAAAAACATTTAGTTTGGCAGTAGCATATCAATATAAGACACCATCCAAACAATTGTTACTAGTGCAGGAACTGAACCTGAATTTGCCAGCTGACAAAAAGGTACTAATATGCTTGGTAAGTAAATAAAATTCTAATCCCTGAATAATATCAGGGAATTGTTAAGGCAATTTTAGGTTTCTCAAAATCTCAAAGGTTACTCTCTATATAGAGTGAGTAATGGATTACAAGAAAACAAAAATATAGGATACGTAGAGCTAGATAAATTCAACTTACCCTGGAAATGGCTCTATATGTATCCTGATAAGTTTCTGCTTCAAAAGGAGGCTTTCCTACTAAAAATTCATAACATAAGACACCAAGACTCCACAGGTCTACCGTTTCATCATGTGTCCTCCCTTCGATCATTTCAGGAGGTAAGTAATCAAGGGTGCCACATATTGTTGATCTCCTAGGATAGCAAAGTATAGATCAGTCAGCAAACCATGTTATTTATCTAAAAGCCACAATGGATGCTATTAATACTAATAATAAGCTACTCTGCTTATTAATACCATGTTTTAAGACATTTTATGAATGTTACCAAATCCTAAATTTTTCTGCTATCTCTATTCCAAAATGCTTGACATTTTTGAATGTCACAAGAAGCCATTCCTTTTTCAAACTCAAATTCAAAGTTGTTTTGTAGAACATGAAGCCCTTCACTGCTCGCACTTCTCTACATATAATCCTGACTTCCTTTTTATTGGACCTCATTTCCCATCTACCTTCTTGGATTCCAGGATCTTATCAGTATTATCTTGTTTATTGCATTCATAACTATCTTGCTGTTGATTTATCCTTCATAACTAGGCATGCTGGTGTGATATTTTGGCTTGAATTCTGAGTTAAAATGTTCCACTTTTTTATATATGCAATTATTACATTATTTTCTTTAGATGATTATATTTCATCTAAGTATCAGGTGACCAGAGACACTCAATATTTCAAAAATATACATTCTGAGATGTTTCACACAGTAACAACTCTAAAATTTTATAGCCATTGAATAGTATTTCAATTGCAAAAGGAACAGAATGGCATAGGAATGGAGATTATATTTTTAGAATATTTTTATCCCTTTATTATTTTTATAAATAACTCAAGGCAGTGAATGTTCATACTCATCCCTCCTACTTTTCCCACAACCACCTTGTGAGTTTGGCTGAAAATAAGTGACCCAAATCACCCTGCTAGTTTTCATGCTTAAGGCAGGAATAGAACTCGGTTTCCTGATTTCTACTCTGATGCCTTAACCACTACACCGAACTGACTCTTGCCAATTTACTTTGGTATTCATCTGGAAAATATGGTTGCCAGCATTATAGTACGAACCCTACTTTAAACAGATTTTCAGTTAAGAGTTCTATCCTCAACTGAAAGAATCAGAAAGATTGAGCTATTTTGGTAAATTTTACTACTTCTAGAAAAGTACATTGTCTATTCAAATAATTCTAAGGCAATTCTACTCTCAAGCTTGAACATTAAAGAGTCTCCTACCTAGAAGATGGGGCATGCACAGACCATCCAAAGTCAGCAATCTTGAGCTCTCCATTTGATCCCAGCAACAGATTTTCAGGTTTGATATCCCTATGAATTACTCTTTTTGAATGACAATATAACAATGCATCTGCGAGTTCAGTCACATACTGTAAAAGAAACCAACATTTGCAAATATGGTTTACCAATTTCAATTAATGCAATGGAAGCTGATATGGCCAATGAGCATTTCTTATACTACTATAGCCACAATGATAAGACAATAATAAAAATAACTACCAAAAAGAACAGGAAAAGTACTACATTATTGGGTTAATCAGCAGGTCTCTACTATGAAATGTAAAGTTTCCCTTAATCATTATGGATGTGACCATCCTCTTAGTAGTCAGGTACCTGAAATGTCACCATAATTTCAGGAAGGCTCTGCCTGCGTTAGTTTAATTACAGAAGTTTGCTTTAATTCAAAGTTGCTCCAAACTTACTCCAAAAATTACTGTGGTTTCTCATGCTTACTACATAACTATTGGCCTTCATCACATAAAATGTTTGTAACCTTGTCCCAAAAGACTAAAAATAAATTAATGTACTTATTTTGTACTTTTCTGGCAAGCAAGTATTTGCACATTAAACAAAATTTGATAAGACCATAGAAGGTACATTGAAGACCTCTCCAATACTGAATGTTCTATCAATGACTAAGATGCATGTATGTCTGGAATGCACTTCTGGAATCTTTGACAAGCAGTTTCTGAAAGCGTAATATCTGTTCTCCCTTAAGCTACTGAAAATTGGTCAACATCCTTCTCAAATTAGCATTAATCCATTCCTCCACTCATTGCCACTTAACTCAAGTTCTTTGTAGAAGAACTTGACTTACTCTTTTTTTTCTTTTGCTAATTTTTAAGAGAAATTCAAAAAATGCCAAGTCTCCAAAGCTATATTTCCACTTTCCATTTTAAAAACTAATACATTTTTAGAAACCCTATGTGAAAGGTCTTTCACTAAGAAAAAAACCCTAACCATGCCATAAAGGGACAAGAAAAGCAGTACTCCCTTTGCATATACAAATCAGACGACCAGTTGAAAAATTTGCAACAGAAACATAGTATTCCCAACATTACATGAAGATAGTGAGGTTTACACTGAAAGCAACAACAGGATTGCCAATTAATTGGAAATGCAGAGGTCAAATTAAATCAGCTCAAGAATGAGCCTGTAAAGTTGCCTAGATATAATTTAAGTCAGGAAAAAAAATACAATATGGCACAAAAATCTTGAATCCACAGCCATTGGTAATCAACTTCTAACCCAAAACACTCACAGGGTACCAGATGAATTCTTCGTAATTTAAATACAACAGTCATTTTATTGTGAACTTCCATTCTTTTCTATAAAAGCTTAGCACATTTAACTTATTTTCCCTGTTAATTTCAGAAGTTTTAAACAAAACAGGCACACATTCTGTTGAGAGAGAAGTTCCCTGAGGATGGGCTCCATCATGAGTCCAAAAGTTTGGAAGAATAAATCCTGGTCCCAGTGACAGATTTGGATTGGATCCTGCAACTTTATCCTGAGAAATACACTGCTCAAAAAAATAAAGGGAACGCTGGTTCCCAACACAATGTAACTCCAAGTCAATCACACTTCTGTGAAATCAAACTGTCCACTTAGGTAGCAACACTGATTGACAATCAATTTCACAAATGGAATAGACAACAGGTG